AAAAAAAAAAAACTAACTCCCTCCCCAAAGCATTATTTTATTATAATTCCACCTCCTGCATACCACTTTTATGAACTTTTTACTGCGACATACCTTCACAAGGGGGGAAAAAAGAGCTAAAGATTTAATTTATCAAAAAAACAATGTACCAAACTTCCAATTTGGGAATTAGATGAGGAATTTTCAGCCAGACAGGGGAAGACGTGTCTCAGGGGAGCAAGCAACCCGTAAAATGCACAAATCCACTCGGCACATGGATCGGGGAATTCTTGCCCTCCTGTGGTCTTCTTCTTCTTTCTTATCTCCACTCAATCATTAGGGTATCAAGTTGTAACCCTTGATGGTGTCTGTTGACAACCATCATGATTGGGTGAAGTATAATGCATCTGCCTTTGTCATTAAGACTGGGAGCACTACTCTGTGGCAGGCCAACTTAGCTCTAAAATAAATGGCCGCCTCTGACATGAGGAACAGATGCCATGTGCAGCCGCTCCTAACATGGAGTACAAACGCTGCTCATCCTGTATCCCTAGATTAGGAGCCCTTACAGGGTTGTTTTGAAAGTTATGTGGATGATAAAAAATAAGAGGAATTATAAACATATGATAAACCATAGGGAAGAGGTGTATGGGTCAATCTCAGACTATCTAGGTGTTGGTAGGTCAGGTCATCCATCACAGGTCAGGTGGCTTGACCAAAAGGATAGAGCAACACAACAGCATTTCAAAATAGAGAGGAAAAATAGGATTACACGACATAACAAAAAGTGAATTTGTGTTGGGGAAAATTTATGGATTTTTTGACAATTAAACAACTTTATTGACATCTCGCCAATGTTTACACTCAAAGGGAGTTATAAGGTAATAATAATGGTAGGAATGAAGAGAGATATATACAATCGACGTAGCCCTCTCCGAGGGCACATCCGGATCAGGAGCTTAAAGCCGCCTTGAATCTAGACAGATCCCTGCCATTTAGGGAGTTCATGTTCGGAACATGTTTGATGATAATGTCGAAGAATTTGTCGAGAATAATCTATGGATCATGGATTCGTAGAGGAAGAGAAAGAACCTTTATTACCTAAAGGTATAAAACTATAAAAGAAGGACAAGAGATCAAATTATATTTACATCAGCAGCTCACGCCGGCCTGCCCAATTCACTTAACCGCTAGCCAACTAACAAATAAACAAGGCCGCGCTATATAGGCAGAGATGTCAATCTGCATAGTTTTAGTATTGTCAATTTCAACAGAATTAACACACGATTAAATATTATACCAAATAAATACTTCAATCTTATTCGTGAGTTGATGAAAGCGGAGTCCACGAGAGAGATGCGAGGAGATCGACAAGAAAAATTAAAAGGACGATTTAAGCGACTCCATCGGAATATAAAGCCCCTCATGTGACCTTGGACATTTTCTGTCGACGTTGCTGCTTTTGGCCAGATGGCGCCCGAGATCCATCCGTAGCCTAACAAAGAAAGACAGTTTATATACAAGCTTGTACACGCTAACTGAACTATCTTATTTCTTTAGTATTATCGTTTAGGGGGGAGTTAACTGCTATCCATTGAAGTTATAAAAATTAAAAGTCCATATACAAAGATCTCTCTCTTTCTCTCTTTATCAATTATTTTATATATTTACATCTATTTATATCAAAAAAAGGCATATCCTGACCTCGCTCACGTGGACTTTTAAATGACAGAACTATGCCATCTGGTCGAACAGATCTGTTCCACTAGATGGCGCTCTGTCATTTAAAAGTTCATGTGAACGTGGTCAGAATATGCCTTTTTTTGATTTTAATAACAAACATCTGACCTTTTTTTATTATTTTATTTTTCATTATTTTATATATTTACATCTATTTACTCATCTTCCTTTCTTCCTTCAATGTCTTCCTCAACTGAGGGTGGGCCACATGGTCTCTCTATATCTCCCTCTTTAAATACCTTCCTCTACTGAGGGTGGGCCACATGGTCTCTCCATATCTCCCTCCTTCAATGCCTTCCTCTACTGAGTGTGATGGTCTCTCCATATCTCCCTCCTTCAATGCCTTTCTCTACTGAGTGTGATGGTCTCTCCATATCTCCCTCCTTCAATGCCTTCCTCTACTGAGTGTGATGGTCTCTCCATATCTCCCTCCTTCAATGCTTTCCTCTACTGAGTGTGATGGTCTCTCCATACTTCCTCCTTCAATGCCTTCCTCTACTGAGTGTGATGGTCTCTCCATATCTCCCTCCTTCAATGCCTTCCTCTACTGAG